AATCATGAGATTTCTTATCTCATATAGAATTGTATTTAGAGTAGGACTCCCCTACTATATAAAGGGGGGGAGTCTCATCATTTGTAAAAAAGATCATATTAACGCAATACAAAGCAATACACTGTCATTTTCTAGCTTTCATTCTCTTGTTGTTCTGTTCATATGCCAGTTAATACATATTGGTTCAAGGGTGACTGAACTCGAGGGCCAAGGCTGTTCAATTTGTGTGGTTTGCATTTATTCTTTCACAGTCAATATCAATATTAATTTATTCTTCTTAATTGGATTAGATCAATTCAATATAGTAAAATTAACGACAACAACAATTTATTGGAATCCCACAAGCAGAGTTTGGGGAGAGTAGTATGTACCCAAATCTTACCCCTACCATGGAAAAATAGAAAGGTTATTTTCAATAGACCCCTCTGCTCAAGAAAGATGAAAAGAAACAGTAAAAACAAGGAATATCAACAGAGAGTGCCTGAAAAATAGTAACAATAATCACTGAGCCATTAAATAGATGGAAGGAAACAATATCAATAAGCAGTAGCAACAATAAAATACTAAAAAATCAAAGCGAAAGATAATAGGAAACCAGACAACCCTAAAACCATCGGTAACAAAAATACATTTGACTACCTACTAACTTCTACCCTAATTCTCAACTTTCACACCCTTATATCAATGGTCATGTCCTCGTTAAACTGAAGTCATTCCATGACTTGCATGAACACTTCTCCCCAATACTTTTTTGGCCTCTCTCTACCTCTGCTCCTACCTACTAAAGACTGCACCTCCTTACTGAGGCATCTGAGCTTCTTCAATATGATAAAATTAAAACTAAAATATTTAAAAATTATACAAAAAGTATATATAAGTTAAATATGTATCTCTTTTTTTTTATTATGTTATAATAATCAAAATTTTCTTTTCCTAAAAACAAAAGAAAAACAAATTTTCTTCCGTTGAAGCAATTGGGGGAAGTTCAGGTCCATAGCCCCCTGTTTCTTTAGGGCTTGGTTGTTCAGCCCTTCCTGTTGTTTGTAATTAGTTTTCAAGTCATTGGGCTTTTATCCTTATATATACGAATTCAAGTAGAGATTGTCACTTAACAATTCGGCCTGCTACATTATTTGGTTTGGGCCAATTGTATCAAGGATTTGCAATTCGAAATTCAGGTAAAATAATAGAAGAATAAATCTTAGGAATTTTTACATTCATATGCCATATAGGAAACTATAATACCCTCGATGTTTAAGGTTTGATATAATTATATTTAGTATACATAATTACCAATTATATACCATTAGTGATTTTTAAGGGTATTAATTACACTCCTAATTTAATGGTACCGTATATTCCTTCTAATGTCACTCCCCCACGTTTCTCTCTCCAATTCCCACACCTTCACCCATATTTCCCTCCCACACCCATGATTTTTGTATCAAAATCCCATTATTTCTTCTATAGCCAAGGCACTGTCTGCACCTCTGCAATCTTGTCTCAATGTTTTTGTGCCCGGGGAAGATGAGCACAAGCCTGGTCGATTTGATGGTTATGATTTCGGGTTCCTTCAGTAATATAAGAGGAAAAAGCAGCAATTCCACCATTGACAGCCATTAAAAAACTTTGAAGCTTTGAATTCAAATTTGGGTTTTCAAGAATCATTATTTGTTTGGAATGAGTGTTGTTGTAAATAATTGGGAATATGGTTTGAAGTTTATAGCTCAATTTTGAGGGGTTTTGGTGAAGATTAGACTTGGTTTTGGCTGAATTTCAGAAGAAGAAGACATGACATACATTATATTGCAGTAATTGTAGAAAAATTGTAGACTGTTGTTTATTTATTTTTGAGCTTTTGTGTTTTTGTGTTAAAAGTTTTGATGGGAGCTTGTTATTCCACTTCGTCTGTTTTGGAGCTAACTTGTGTAGAGGAGAAGATGTTTTTTAAGTTATATATATTGCTATACCTTTAAATTTAAGAAAGTATGGTTGTATTGTATTTAAAGAGGCGTGAATTTGTAGAATAGGTTGAATGTGATGAATGAGTAAAATAAGACTCACAATGACTTGTTTTCTACATTTAATCTACAACAAAACTACATATCATTTGAAAAATTAATATGAAAATACAAAATTTCAATGTTTCTACAAATTATCTACAAACTGTTCATAACAGAATTTGTCTTTATTTTCATGCATGTTCGTCTGGAACACTAAAGTTACTTGATATGCCAATATCTCCCGTTATAGAGGAATACAACTTATCTATAATTTTCTACAACTTTCACACATTATTTCCACCCTAGTTAAATATAACTACAATAACATAAAATTTGAGCTTTGCGTTTTTGTGTTAAAAGTTTTGATGGGAGCTTATTATTTCACTTCGTCTGTTTTGAAGCTAACTTGTGCAGAGGAGAAGATATTTTTTAAGTTATATATATTGTTATACCTTTAAATTCAAGAAAGTATGGTTGTATTGTATTCAAAGAGGCTTGAATTTGTAGAATAGGTTGAATGTGAGGAATGAGTCAAATAAGACTCACAATGGTTTGTTTTCTATATTTATTCTACAATAAAACTGCATATCATTTGAAAAATTAATATGAAAATACAGAATTTCAATGTTTCTACAAATTATCTACAAACTGTTCATAACAAAATTTATCTTTATTTTCATGCATGTTTGTCTGGAACACTAAAGTTACTTGATATGCCAACATCTTCCGTTATAGAGGAATACAACTTATCTACAATTTTCTACAACTTTCACACATTATTTCCACCCAGTGAAATACAACTACAATAATATAAAGCTTACATACAATTTTTTTACAATATGTCTTTTGTATATTTTGTATCTGAGTTATACATAGTAAAAATAATTTTCATACAACTAATTATATATTATACAACTTATCTACAAATTATCTACAATTTTCGTACATTATTTCTACTAAGTTATATACAACTACAATATAATACCACTTAAATATAATTTTTATACAATGTTGTTCAACTTTCATACAATAGTTAAATGAATAAAAGAAAAATAAATAAACAACAAAATACAATTTTTCTACAATTTCTGCAATATAATGTATGTCATGTCTTCTTCTTCTTCTTCTTCTTCTTCTTCTTCTTCTTCTTCTTCTTCTTCTTCTTCTTCTTCTTCTTCTTCTTCTTCTTCGAGTTTCAATCCGAAATTCAGCCAAAACCAAGTCTAATCTTCACCAAAACCCCTCAAAATTGAGATATAAAATCCAAACCATATTCCCAATTATTTGCAACAATACCCAATCCAAATAAATAATAATTTTTGAAAACCCAAATTTGAATTCAAAGCTTCAAATCCTTTTAATGATTGTCAATGGTGGAATTGCTGCTCTCTTTTCCTTTGCTTTATATTACTGAAATTTGGACATAATTGCAATTGATGTAGAAGAATTGTAGAAGATTTAGTCGTTTTTGATTTGTGAAATCAGGAAAAAGTTTGAAACACAATGTATCAAAAAAGCAGAGACGCTAAATTTGAAACGAAACTGACGAAGAAGATTAATGTGCGTTGTGGAAGATCTAGAAGAATATTTAATCCCCCCAATTTTAGCGCGCTTAAATAAGGAAGCCTACAGTTACAATGATTCCTTATTTAATGCATTGTCTATATTTTGTAGAAATACTATTAGCATGAGGGTAATATGCAAACTATGAACATATTTGGTAATATAGTTTCCTATATGGTATAGGAACAAAAATTTTCCTAAATCTAAATAGCCGTCCGCCCAGTCATTTTAATTAAAATTAGCTGACGAATATATAATATATGTATAATCATATAAAATTAGTTTATAATTTATATAAACCGAGTATGAAAAATAAATAATAAATTCGATCAGTTATTGTGTAAAGACCCAAAATGATGTTGTGTCAAGTACTTTCACAAATAGCCGTATTTAGGACCCTTATTTAAAGAATAATTGAAGTTTATAATATTTTTAAAGTTTAACCGTCTCAAATTTAGCTTCATATTGCGAGACTAAACTTTAGACATATGGCTCATGTTAGTAACTTATATTTATTATGCACACTTTAATTGTGTTGTATTAGTATGCAAACTTTAATTATGGTGATAAAATAAAAATTGGTGGCAACTTTTTGAGGATGTTATGTATTTGGCCTATATAGTAAAACAAAAGGTTGAAACCAAACGTGTGAGATCCAAGGGTGGAATGCATCAATAGTCCCTTTTAAACTTGCTTTTTAACATATATCTACAATTATAATATATTTAAAGATTAATTAATTCATCCAAAATTCAGGATTAAATATTCTAATTTTTGTATTCTGAATTTTGAACTGCTAATTTGGAATTAAGGACTTAGTGCTCTCAATTTTAAGCTGCTAATTTAAAATTTACAGCTTGTTTGGATGGTTGTTACATGTCGTTCCATGATGCATCATATTATATTGTATTGTTTAATGAATATAATGCCGGGATAAATTGTATCGTTTGTCATTATTTGATGATGTCACACACCAACATGCAACACTGCTAAGAAAAAATAGAATACATGTAGAATTATTATGTAAAAAAATTGGATAAAGAATAAAATATGATTATTTAATAATAAGAAAGGACAAGATGAGAAGGAAAAGCAAAGTAACGACGCCATCACACCAAATCCGTAGTCACATAAAGTGACACTTTTTGTTGTTATATAATGACGGATTTAACGATAGGATACAATAAAATTAAAATAACAATCAAACCAAATATTCCATTTAAAGTAATAATACAATAGGTAACAATCATTCTAACAAGCTGTTAAGACTAACCGTCGTTAATTTTTGAATTCTTAATTTAAAATTAAGGACATAAAATTTAATTTTTTGAATATAATTTTTGAATTTGAAATACGATGTCCCGAAATTTGAACTCTGAGGTTTAAACTTTAAACATATTTTAAAGATGATTAAAATGGCTACCTGATGTAATTTCCTGATCCAAACATCACAAAACGGAAACCTGCCATCACACGGCCAACTTTGCCTTCCTCCACCCGCTACAGTCCTATGTCAATTGGGTTAAAGAAAAAAGTATCAGTCACTTTTTTTTTCTTATTTTCTTTTAACTTTTTATTCAGCGAATCTACGGTTGAAATAACTGAAAAGATTATTCTTTGATCAGAATATCTATTCAGAAAAAGAAATACGCGATAAAGAAAAGTTCTTTGTCTGATCAGAATATCTATTCAGCTTCATCAATTCTTGCAGCCTTTTGATTTGAAGGGGTTTTCACAAAAGAAAAAAATGGAGAAAGTAATGAATATATTGAAGCCAAAACCGAACCCTCAACAGCTTTTAAGGGATTGGCAACGTAGGCTCCGACAAGAATGTCGGAATATTGAACGTCAAATCCGAGGTAAAAGCTTTTTTTTTTCCTCTCATTCAGCTTAATTTTTCATAGTCAAGAAGGAAAAGGGTTTTTTGTTTCTGTGTTTTTTTGGGTGATTGTAAAGTTCGATTTTTTATCTTGGGTTTGTGGATTTTTGGCGCTTTTGATCAGATATACAAAGAGAGGAGAAGAATGTGCAGAAAGCAATTAAAGAAGCTGCAAAGAGAAATGATATGGGTTCTGCCAAGGTGATTTACTGCTCTCACTTGAACTCTATAATTTAAAAAAAAATCACATAATTATTTTCGGGTTATGACTGCTATTTTTCTACGCTGATGCTTATATAAGGACTATAGAATGATAGACTGAGAAAGAGTTGAAATTAAGCTCTTTAAATATTGTCATTTTAGAACCTTACTTTATCCACACACACAAAAAAAAGTTGATACTTTGGAAAACTTGTTAACTTTGAAATTTTGTTATTTCTCTTAGTTGCTTGTTCATATTTTTAGTTTTTAGGTTTCAATCTTAGGCGTTTGCTAAAGGACTCGTGAGATCCATCAAAAGTGTATAATTGCGTGTTTCCCCCTGTCTTGCTAATAATCTAGGTCTGTAACATTGGTAAACTGAGAAGTAGTAAATATACTTAACTAGATGTTTGAAAATTTGTTATTTCAGATCAGGAGATGAAAGAATAATTCTTCTTTTTCAAATCTTTTAAATGTTGGCGAAATGAGAAAGAGAAGAAGGATGAGTGAGCTGCTTTTAGAAGATGTTCTTCATCTATGTCAATGTACTTGAACCATTAAGTCGTTTTGCATAAAAAGCTTGGCGTAGAAGTGCATTATTGTAATTCTGTTCTGGTCGTTCCAGGTTGTTGAGAAGTGCTTTGTCCTATGTCATTTAGGAGCTTTCTTATGCAGCTTATGTGGACAAACCACTATGCTTTTTTCCAGACTTCTAGGAACACCTATTTAAGTAGTTAGTTTAGTACTTATCCAAGATTTCTTTTTCTTTTACGGTAAGAGCATATGCTGAATTCAGACTGATATTTTATATGGTTATGAGGCATATTTTTGTTGTTTTTTGTATCCTATTGCTTATTCATATCGGACTGTTGATGTATTTACCGCAGTCACTTGCAAAAGAGATTGTGAGATCTAAAAGAACTGTGAACCGATTGTACGAGAATAAGGCGCAGTTGAATTCAATATCCATGCACCTTGGAGAAAGTGTTGGTATGATCGTAGTCTTGCTTCACTTTTTGTATGTATGTCTATCCTCCTTTTATATTCAGGAGTGTGCATTTGGTCCTCTTAAGCTTCTTGACGAGCAAGCTGTCAGGAGAACAGTATGCAATCATTGAGAACATAGCCTGATAAAGATTGCTAAAGTCAATATAGAAATAATAAAAAATACATGCATTATGCCTCTTATTATATATCGAAAAAGAGACTGAACATCCATTGAGAACATAGCATATAATATATGGAGTGTGAAGATGCATAATATGTATTTTATTATTTATATAGATGTTGAAAATGCAGAAGCAGGATTGTATAGTTTCTTATACTTTTGATTTTCTAAATAAAAGGTGAATATTTTCATTTTACACTGGATAACTGGAAACAATTTTGCCAAAACCGAATATAGAATTCTGCCTTTCCAATTTGATTGTATGAAATAGAGGGAGCAGCTAAGAAAGACACAGACTGGATAAAATAAATGGAAAAGGGCCATATTTGCCTCTCTACTATCAAAAATAAGATATATCTACCTTTTGTTTCAGTTTTTTAGTATAACTACCCCTACCGTCATACTTTTGGATCATACTTGCCCCTCACATGTTAAATGGCTTGGTCCCATATTAAAAAAGACACATGGCTGGCCCTAATTGGATAAAATAGACCCGCCACATTTCTAATTAAAACCCACCAGACCCATACAAATAATCCACCCATTCCAAAAAAAGAAAAAAGGAAATTGAACCCATTCCACCCATTTCCTTCACGTTCACATTCTCCTCTTTCATCCTCTCACTAGCCAAGTGCTCCAAATTTCAATTTGTTATGCTGGTGCACTTCTGTTCTAGCAGTTTATTGTTGAAAGTGCTTTTTGGAGGATTGCATGTCAAACTCGGTCTTCAACTTATAAGTTTGTCTTTTTTCATTTTCCCCGCTTTAGCCTCTTTGAGGATTGCATATTAAACTCCGTTTTCTTGTTGATATACTCTAAAAGAGAATATGAAATAAGAATCTTATAAGTTCATGTCTTTGTTCCTTTACCCTGCTATATATTATCAGTTGCATTTACTTTGTTACTTACATCTGCATAGAACATTATATGAAGCTCTCATATATATTTGATTCCTCTGGTGCTACCAGTATCAATCTGTCCTTGTGAATACACTCATAGGTGCAGTACAAGATTATCTTTTAAGGAGTTTGAACTTATTAGGCGTAGAAGTAGCATTTTGGCTAATTAGAAGATGTTTAGGCCAGTTTTCCACTTCATACTTAATATAAGATAAAGCTATCGGGGCATTCTCATATTCTCATTTGCTAGAGACCTAATTTTCACAAAGAAATCATCAGAAGATTTATCAAGCTAGATTGATTAGCATGGTAATAGTATAAAGCTATTCATACTACACTGATTATTTAGTTTCTTCTATACTTAGTTCAAAGACCCACAAAGCCTGTTCAAAAGGGATTAATATTTGGTTGATAAGAATTCAAAGCAAAGTTTGGATTCAACAGTAGGGTCTAGTTACTGAAACTGGGAATGCTAAGCTCCAGTTTATGCTTTACATTTTATAAACGGGTGTTTATACTTAGAGGGAAAGAGGGGAACGGGAATGGGAAGGAGGTGGGGTATTATAGTATAGATCGGGTGGGTTTTAATTAGAGATGGGGCGGGTCTTTTTTATCCAATCAGGGCCAGCCACATGTCTTTTTTATCCAATCAGGGCCAGCCACGTGTCTTTTTTAAGATGGGACCTAACCATTTAAAGTTGGAGGGCAAATACGATCCAAAAGTATGACGATAGGGGTACTTATACTAAGAAACTAAAACGGAGGGTAGATCTAGCTTATTTTCAATAGTAGAGGGCCAAATATGACCCTTTTACATAAAATAAAATAACTGGATGCTATTTTGGCAAAACCGATAATTGTATTCTATATCGAGGTTGTTAGCAGCAGCTAGGAAAGTAGCATCTATTAGAATGTCTGTAGCTAGACAACCATATACTGTTGCTAGTTGGACAACAAATTGAAGCCAACCCTCTTGACTTATACTTAGTGTTAGTTTATGTGTTGGCTTCTTCCAGTGTCCCATTGACTTGTAATTGGTTTTGCAGCCATTGCTCGAACAGTGGGACATTTGTCTAAGAGTGCTGAAGTCATGAAGCTCGTCAATAATCTTATGAAGGCTCCAGAAGTGGCTATGACAATGCAGGAATTTAGTAAAGAAATGACCAAGGTATATATCTATTTGGCTTTATCATTTTGAGTTTCAATGATATTCTTGATCTTTTCTCCTGGTTGCGAATCGCCTTTAAACCAGTTTGATTCCAATTCTTAAATATTGCTGTATGCTAGATAACATATCAGAATCAGTGTTTCTCTGTTTGCTATTGGCTGTATTTTTTTGAGCGTTCATACTATATGGAATCCGTGCTTTTATCTCCTTTACTTCTCAAGGAACTTTTCTAGTGTCTCTTTCTAGGTGCCAAATTTTATACTCTCATCAAGTGCACCCCTTCGATTATTTTCAGCTTCTTTACGTGTTAATATGCCTATTGTAGTTTTTCAAAATCTTGTGCAACTTGATCAGAAATTTGTGTTTTAGCTTATTATTGTCTTTCTTAAATGGGGAAAGATATTTGGATATCACATGTCAAGTTTTATTTCCTTGTTTCTCATGCAATTTAACAGCATATGACCCATGTTACATGAACAAGGGTGTGGGATAAAATAAGGAAGAAAATCTAGGAGTCAGATTCGTCATCACATAAATCTTAGAATTCAGGGATATGGTAGGGTTAAACGTACGGGCGCTAAGATACGACTAATAAAATATTTTATAGTATAGAATATTTATGCTTCATTTTATATGATGTCATTTGTCACGCCCCAAAACCGAGGGGCGCGACCGGCGCTCGATCGGGCAGCCCCAGCCAAGCGGACCTGGGTGCCTTTCCTATTCCACGTGTTACCCCGCGTTTCCATTTCCCATTAACCAAGTGAAATAGCCATTTATAAATTTAAACACATTCTTACGAGATTTACATAGCATACATAGTTACTTAGCATGGTTTACAAGTTATACTGCCCAAAATACATAAGTACATAACCCACATTTACTATCTACGGAGCCTCTAGGGATACAAATGAGTGATACAATACTTGCCGGTAACAAGGCTCCGGCTATACCTTACACCAAAAACCAAAACAA